AAGGCTTCAGAGCAAACCTGTCTCAAGTCCTGTCTCTCCTCCTCTCGAATTCCCCGAAGCCGTATGGCAAATTCCATCGCCCGGAATTGTATCATAACAATCTCATCTTCAATTCTCTGCATTTTATTGTCAACTTCATCAATTTTATAATCATTGTCTTTCATCTTAACATTAACTTCTGATTTGAATTCTTCAACTTTAAAATCAACTTTCCCAATAAATTCTGCCAGGCCAGACGCCACTTCTGATATTTTTTTGGTCACCTTATTTTGATTCTGTTTCACCATGTCTTTAACTTCATTAATTTCCTGCATAAATTCCTGATGTGATTTTTGAAGTTTATCATCTATCCCCTGTTGAGATTTTTGAAATTTGTCATCCAGAGTTTTAGAAATAAATTCTTTTAAATCTCCCACATCAAATTCTTTTTTCTGGGTTTGTAGCTGTTGAGCAGGGGGAAGTTGCGTTTGATGTTTGTGTGTGGGGGATCCCCCCCCTAATGCCTTCCCTTCCTGCTTCTTTGAAGCCATCCTGGCTCGTGATCTAGTTTTTCTAAAGAGGGAAGTTCCTTTTCCTTTCCCTCCTGCACAAAGACTTCTAAAAAAGTCCCCCAGATTTGATCAAACAAGGGTTAAAATAAAGCAAAGTCCAATATTGAAAAGGGAAAAAATTTCCCAGTTATTTCTCTTATAACAAGCAAGGCAGCTTAGTAGCAACTTGGAAACTTTGTAGCAAAACAAAGTAACTTCACCAATCCACACTCGCTGGCTCGTTAACTCTGAAGCTAGGCGCCATATTTTTTCAAAGCACTTTCACTCATTCGCATTTTCTCAGATTGAAAAGTCAACAAAGTGCTAATACTTGCGTTTCCAAATTTCAGGATTCAGGTAGTTTCACTGTTTATTAAAACTGGTTCTTTCGCTTTAAGTTTCCTGCAGCCGGCTTGTTCTGCAAAAGCAGAATCGTCCCACGTCGCCCGGAGTTCCAGCAGGTTGGGAGGGAGCCACGCCTGTTCTCTCCCCAGAAACTTCCCTGGGGGGTTACAGGGGCTCAACCTGTGCCCTGCGATCTCTCCTTCTTCAATCCTGTGGATTTAGAAGTTTTCGAGCCGCTTCTTCGTCTCGAAGCGGCTCTACAGGCGGCGGGGCTGGCGGAGCTTCAAAGAGCGCCGCCGTCGCCGAAGACAAGGAAACCGGAAGTCTCGGAATTTCAACCCTTTTGACCACATATTTTCCCATTGAGCCATCTGTATATTATAACCAAAATTCTTAGCCCACTTTGTCATACATGTTTAACCTGTTGTTCCATTTTAAATTTCAATAAAAGTTCATATATTTTAGTAATCACATGTTCCTAATCAGTATGAAATTGCATTTCAAATTCTGTCTTACTTTGCTTCATACCATAAGTCTTTTAATCCATTTTAAATCTTTCTAATAACTGTAAATGGAAAAACCATTGATAACTATATCCTGTCATTAGTTTCTATCTTGGCTTAATTTTATAGTTCCCTTTGGTGATTCTACAATGATTCTGGTGTGTTAACCGTTTGTCTTTGCCTTTTGTTTCTCTTCTGTGAAATGTATTTTTGAGCACAACCTGAATATACATCTATTCCATATTCTCAGTATGGCACTAAACCTAATAAAATGGTTTTTAAAATCTATTTAATAATACCCAATTATTTTACTTTTTTCTCAATCTTTTTAGATTGTTAATATCTTCATCTTCCAATTATTAATCTTAAAACTTACCAGCAAACCAAGTCATTTAATTTTCCTGTTAATGTCTCTAATGGATCCTCCAAACACTATAGCCAGGTCATTGACAAACACCCTTACAAGTTTGTTTTTAATTTTTTATTTCCACTATTCTCTCATCTTATGACTCTGTTCTGTTATCTGGATAACTAAAATGAACAAGAGTGGAGACAGCAAATATTTTTGTCTTCTTTTTTGAATCTCACAAAGTTTTTTTTTGTTTGTTAATTCTCCATTAACAATTATTTGGGCTTTTTATGGGGTAAAAATCAATCTTATGTATTTAATAAAATTATCTCCAAAATTCATACCTTCCAGAACTCTAAAGAAGAAAATTCAGTTAAAACTATCAAAGATGTTAGTTGCATCTAAGAAAATCAGTGCAGTTTACTTTTCATTATGTTGATCCAAATATCCAATACATCCAATATTCAATATATTTCTAATATTATCTTGTAATTTTCCTTTAGATAAAAACTCACATTGATCTTCATGAATAAAGTCCTATAAAATTATTTTCAACCATTCATCCAAAATCATTTTAAACAACTTATAGTCATGATTCAAGAAAGATACTGGTTGATAATTTCTTGTTAAAGTCAGGTCCTGGGATTCTTTACATATGAACACTGTATTTGCTTCTTTCCAAGTGTCAGGAATCTTTCTATTCTGTAAAATAAATATCCATTGTTTGTTGTTAAGGTTGTAAAATTTATTCCTCAAAACATAATATGTTGGCAGACCATCTGGGCCAGATGCCTTTGTGATTTTAGTCTTTTTAATAATTTTACAAACTTCTCTTATTCTTACAGGTACATTCAAAATTACTGATTCTTTGGTAAATTCTGTTTATATAATCATAGAATAATAGTGGTGAAACACTTCCTGGGTATTTGCATTATCTGTTTTTACAATGTTTCCTTCTGGTAACATTAGTATCACTTTCTTTTGTTTTTCTTTGTGCAGCTCATATGCCAACCATTTTCCTGGTTTATTTGTAAACTCAAAATTTCATTGTTTTGCATAATTCATCTTTATTTCCGTCTCACTGTTAACATAAATAATTGCTTCTGTAGAAAGGAAGTAATTGTCCTATCTGAGGACTATTTAAACTTTTCACTTTTTATGGAACCCCAAATCACTTGCATACTATCAGCACGAATCCTTTGTTGATGTAACACAAAATCAGATCAGCAATTTCCTCCTAACAAAATTTAAATGATATTCAACCATAGTTTTTATAAAGTTAATTTTTATTTTTATCCCACCTTTACTGTGTTTATAAATAATTCAAGGTAGTGAGCATAAGCTAATACTCCTTCCTTTTTATATTTTTCCAACAACAACAATCCTGTGAAGTGGGTTGGGCTGAGAGAGAGTTATTGGCCCAAAGTCACCTAGCTGATTTTCATGCCTAAGGCGGAACTAGAATTCACAGTTTCCTGGTTTCCAGCCTGGGTTATATTATACATTATACATTATACATTATAATTATACATTATAATCACAGAAACATTTCCAAAGTATTAACTCATGGGTCAGCTATATTTGTCCAGAAGGGTTTATTTATTTTACAGCAATGAGAAGAGATTAAGTATTAGAAAAAGAACTGAGCCAGAACCTATTTTTTTGTCATTTGACTTAGTAAACAAATCTTGCTTTCAGTCTGTAAAAAATTGGTTTATTTGTCAAGCATTAAGAGATTCATCTTTTAGGAAGTTAGTAGCAAATAGTTAGATAGGGGTATGTGTAAATGTATGTGTTTCCTTAAAAGTAAACAACTAGCTCCAGAAAACTACATTGTAAAGCATTACTTCAAAGAAACAATATATAACTGGGTCACTAAGTCACTGTTTTAAATTATGCAAATATTGTATCCAGTACTCTAAATAATGTTACTTGAAGACAGAAAAGAAAAATAACAAAGAGTTGTTTGGCAAATGGACACAGAAGTTTTTTCTTTTCCCCTTGATTAGCTGAACAGTGTGGCTACAATCCCAATTGTACACATTTGGGAATAATTCACTCAAAATTAAAGATATATACAAAAGATTTAGGAATAGATCTCATGCTTTTAATTTTGAATTATGGGATTTTGCTTGCTTAAAAGAGACTAAATAATTTTCTAAAGATAAAATTTAAGAAGTCTTTGAAGTAAATACTGTTGTAAGTCCTAAGGCATTAAATGACATTTTGGATTCCAGGAACCAGTTCTTTTATTATCAATAGAATTATGCACAGGATATGTTGCCATCTAATTAAATTACTGTGAGTAGGAAACTAAAAATGTTTTGAACGTAGATTAATAGAATATGTTTTAAAAAGCAAATTTTGGGATACTTTGAGGAAATTATATTTTATTACACAGATACTCTGAATGAACTCATCCAGATAAATGGAGGAATTGTTTTCTTGCCCCACCTAGTGACTAAAATGATCACAGAAATTTAAGAGACTGTTTTTCAGTACTTGTTAATTGTGTTTTCCAGTGCTGGAAATTAAGAGAAATAAAATTATTGATTGTTTAAATTCTTTGAAACGGTTTATTTCCATGATCTACTCGTAACAACTGCATATATTTACTTAAACGAATCCTTCTGAAGCTGGACAACAAAGTAAAAATTGATTAAATAACTGAAGCTCAGAATAGCTATAACTCTTAAATGAAAACAGGAATGTTGTTCCTCTAATTTGGATATTCAACTGTTCACACATGCATGCTTAGAAGCTGCTTTTACTTAGAAAGATATGGGGTTTTTTGGTTGATTTACACATGCTTGAATATAATAGGAAGTTGGTCCTTGAAATAATCCATTCTTGAGAGCTCATGGAGGCAAAATAAAATGTGAGTTATATTAAACATGTGAAGAATTAGGACCACCCACCATTACTTCCTGGAATGTACAAAAAACTACAAGCCTTTATTAAGTGGACACAGTCCCTCCCCTCCTAATTAGTGCCATCATCATTTCTGTTATTCATTCACTACCATTAAAAGGGTTCCTTATATTACTATTCTTATTATTCATAATAATAATATCCCTTATTATTTCTCACACATCTTTTTGTATATTGCAAGAATGATTTCTGTTAATAAATTAATGTTTTTGTCAAGTATGTTAAAATAGTTAAAACATGTTTTTAATTAATGAAGGAATATAGAGTCTGTGAAAAGAAATCCATCCTGTACATCTGTATTTGATGTATATATTCTGCAATCTCTTTTTTTTCTCTCCTTAGAGTATAATTGGTGTGGTGATTGGGAAAACAGATGCCAAAGGCTTTCCGGACAGAAAAAGTAAAGTGGTTTTTAAGTATCTTATTCTGAGTTTCCCAGGCTCTATCTTTCTGTCAGTGTTTTGACTAATTAAAAAAATATCTGGTGCAATCTTTTCTGTACAAACTATGTTGAAATGACAATACCTATTTCACAGGTACACTTTGCACAAGTTATATAAGATCATGAGAAGTGATAGTACCACTCTATAGCAATAGCACTTAGACTTATATACCGCTTCACAGCGCTTTACAACCCACTCTAAGCAGTTTACAGAGTCAGCCTAATGCCCCTAACAATCTGGGTCCTCATTTTATCAACCTCAGAAGGATGAAAGTCTGAGTTAACCCTGAGTTGCTCAGGATCAAATTGCTGGCAATCAGCAGAATTAGCCTGCAATACTGCATTCTAACAGGAAGGAAGGAAGAAAGGAAGGAAGGAAGGAGGGAGGGAGGGAGGGAAGGAAGGAAGGAAGGAAGGAAGGAAGGAAGGAAGGAAGGAAGGAAGGAAGGAAGGGCACTTAGACTTATATCTAAGTGATTTATAGTGATTTATAGCCCTCTCTAAGCAGTTTACAGAGTCAGCGTATTGCCCCTAACAATCTGGGTACTCATTTTACCGATCTTGGAAGGATGGGAGGCTGAGTCAATCTTGAGCTGGTCAAGATCGAACTGCCAAACTGCTGGCAGCTGGCAATCAGCAGGAGTAGCCTGAAGCAGTAGTGGGTTTCAATTTTCTTCACTACCGGTTCGCTATTGGGAGCATGCAGGTGCGCACAGCGCTTTGCAAGCGCGTGGCGCTTCTGCACATGCGCAGAGCATTTTTCATGACGTCCGGGCAGGTGGGTGGAGACTCCCACCGCCGCTGCTACTGGTTCTCCCGAACCGGGACGAACCAGTAGCAACCCACCACTGGCCGGAAGTACTGCATTCTAACCACTGCGCCACCACGGCTCCTCCTATATTATACTAGTGAGGCCACACTTGGAATACTGTGTCAAATTCTGGTCACCAAGATACAAAATAAGATGCTGAGGAAGAATTCAGAGAAGAGCAACAAAGATAATAAGGAGTGTAAAGGCTAAACTATATGATGAAATGTGAAAGGAGTTAGGTGTAGCCCAGAGGTGGGTTTCAGCAGGTTCTGACAGGTTCTGGAGAACCGGTAGTGGAAATTTTGAGTAGTTTGGAGAACCGGTAGTAAAAATTCTGACTGGCCCTGCTCCCATCTATTCTCTACCTCCCAAGTCCCAGCTGATTGGTAGGAAATGGGGATTTTACAGTATCCTTCCCCTGCCACGCCCACCAAGCCACGCCCACCAAGCCATGCCACACCCACCAAGCCCCACCCACAGAACTGGTAGTAAAAAATTTTGAAACCCACCACTGGTGTAGCCTAACAAAGAAGGATTAGGGATAACATGATAGCTGTCTTCTGGTACATGAGGGGCTGCTACAGAAAGGTAGGGGTCAACTTATTCTCTGATGCACCTGAAGGTAGGACAAGAATCAATGGGTGGAAAACTGTCAGAAGGAGATCCAACCCAGAAATAATGATAAATTTCCTTGACGATGAGAACAATTAATCAGTGGAACGGCCTTCCTATCAGAGTTATGAGTGCTCCATTGCTGGAATGGACAATTTGTCTGAGATGGAATAATGTCTCTTGCCTTGGGGAAGGGGTTGGACTAGAAGGTCTCCAAGATCCCTTTCAACCGTATGGATTCTACTGTATTCAACTGGTGATAAGAAATTCAACTTACGGGAACAAGTTTCCCCCATAACTGTCATTTTTGTTGACGTGCCTCTCAATATTCTTAAGGATACATACCAGGGATGAAATCCAACAGGTTCTCACAGGTTCTGGAGAACCGGTAGCGGAAATTTTGAGCAGTTCAGAGAACTGGCAAATACCACCTCTGGCTGGCCCCAGAGTGGGATGGGAATGGGGATTTTGCAATATCCTTCCCCTAGAGTGGGGTGGGAATGGGGATTTTGCAATATCCTTTCCCTAGAGTGGGGTGGGAATGGAGATTTTGCAGTATCCTTCCCCTGCCACATCCACCAAGCCACGCCCACAGGACTGATAGTAAAAAACTTTGGATTTCACCACTGATACATACCTGTTCCTTAGTAATAATAATAGAGAAAGGCATTGGGCCTGTCCCTATTTTTGAAGCAATGAACATAAGGAAAACATTTTATTCATTAGGAGATTCAATACTAAAGTTCACACTAGTTTCTTTTCCTAAACTTTTTCTTCTCATTCCAGAGAAAGTTTAAAAATTATGGTGACCTCTAGTGGTATGAATGAGATTGCTCTGCAATATTTGCATTGTAATTCCTCATCCATCAACATTTATAGTACAGGTAGTCCTCAATTTATAACAGTTTGCTTAGTGACTGTTCAAAGTTAACAACGGTACTGAAAAAAGTGACTTATGACCATGTTTCACACTTATATACCATTGCAGCATTCCCATGGTCATGTGGTTTACATTCAAACGCTTGGCGATTGACTCATATTTATGATGGTTGCAGTGTCCCAGGGTCATGTGATTCTCTTTTGCAACCTTCTGACAAGCAAATTCAATAGGAAAACCAGATTCCCTTGACATGTGTGTTACTAATGTAACAGTGGCAGTGATTCACTTAACCAATGTGGCAAGAAAAGTCGTAAAATAGAACAAAGCTCACTGAACAAATTTCTCATTTGGCAACATAAATGTTGGGCTCAATTGTGGTCGTATGTTGAGGACTACCTATGTAGCATTTCTTCTTTGCTGCTGCTGCTTGTATCTTAATTTCCCTGTTTCCTGATATACTATGTATTTATATATAACGGAATGGGCCTCTGAAACTGAAGTGCTGACAGTTCACACAAACAACCAGTGTCTGCTACAGATGTCAGGCCCCAGACCTCAGTTTGATTCAAAACCATTATTCATAGCATGGTTTAAGTTTTGTAATAGCAGACAAAATATCATCTATATATTATATTATGTATCTCACACCAAATTCAAATTTTAAATAGCGTTCCTAAATATACCCCTCTCTGCAGATATTGGATCAGAACGATATACTTTTTGTTTTACCATTCGTGATTCCCCATCATGGTTCATAAATGTGAATTCCTGGGGAAGAGAGGACTATATTAAATCACTTTCAGAAACCTTTAGACTTGGTGATTGTGGTAAGCTGGAATTTATTCTGAACATATTTCAATATGTTTTTCTCTTTCTTAAATCAGTATAATGTGGCTGTGATCTTAGGGTGTTTTTCTTCAAGGAATTACAGACCTATTTAACTGGAACCAATTTTTTTTCAGTTAGACTAATTGAAAGAAGTTATATTCACATATTCTTGTTAGTGAAGATGTCATGAAGACATAAAAAATTAGAACGTAATTTCCCATATTCCTTCTTAGATCGTTGTACTATGTTTTTACTCTTCTAAAATGTTTCATAAGTATAAAAGTAATTGGAGTCATCCCCTACAGTGAATGTGGGAATAGTCTAGTTAATTCCCATTGACACAATGGGAATTATTTTTGAATAAAATACATACATGGTATTTATTATATGTTGCACAGCCTTTCTTTCATTTAATTATTTTCACTAGAATAAATGAATCTTTAAAACATCCCCAGTGCTTCTCAATAAAATTTTATCATGCGAGCCTGGAGACTTAAAATATAATTTAATATTACTATTTTTTATTATTTCTGGTAATTATTTTATGTATATATTAAGATCACTGCCAGCTCTTCCTAATTTTCTATACGGTCAAATAAAAGCTATTCCACACCTAGTTTACCTTCACTGGTCACAAAAACCTAAGCCAGGCTAGATCTAGTTAATACTTGAATTCTACAACAGAATCCCAGAGCTATAGGCTAGACTGAAATAAATTTTTTTTAAAAGAAAATGACAAATGGCACCAATGGCACAAATGGCAAATCACATCCTTGTTGTGGCTAAGAAAACTGCATGGATGTAACCACCAGGAGTTAAGCCTGGTTCCACAGCATCTTTATTATTTTTCTCTCTCTTTCACTTGAACAATTAAACCAGGAGAGATAAACTTAATCCAGAAAAAAACAGCCAGTTTCTCAAGAGTAGGCAGATATTTGAGGATGGGATTGTTCGAAGATCTCTCTCCTTACCAAATTTTATTTGCGTTGGAATTACTAGAAGGGGAAATTAAGAATTATTACCCCAACCTGAATCATTTTAGTTGTTCAAGGATCAGCCAGAAATAACCTTTATTAATATTACTGCCCTAATACTGATAATAAAAATATTTTTTTCAATACTGTTGATAGCTGATATGAGCCTAAGAAAAGCCTGGGTAGGGCTGCCCCATATTGCAGAGGCTCCATATTGGGTGAAGAGTAGATAAAAGTCACAGATCACCCATTCCTGATTTAAATGGTACAATCTGTGCAAGGTTACTGGTGGACAGAAATTAGTAAAGTAAATTAAATTTTAAGTATTTCTAAAAAGCATATACAATTAAAAAGCCTATACTTTAATCATGCTGCTTTTTACCTTGTACATTATTTTGTATTCCAAAGTAAAAAGATACTATGCAGCATGTATCTGCATATCATTAAAGGTACAGCATCTTTCCAGGATAAGCCAGCTGCCTTTTGCATGTGCAGTGTAATCTTGGAAAAAGATATGTTTGATGTAAGACGTTGGGGTGTTGCAGGCAGGAGATACGTATGCCAGATGTTATGAAGTGTTGTACAGCTTACTTCTTTTATTTTCTTTTACTAACCATTTTGTTTGGATTGAAAATAATTCAAATAATTCACTCTGTAGATTCTGCTTATATGACAAATCCTAGGACTGGTTTGTAGGTATATCGGCCCACTTGTAAACTGTCGTTTGAATTTTTTAAATCACAGTCATAATTGAAAATCCTCTAGTACAGACAAAAGAGGTAGAAAAAGAAGAAAAGTTCAACCCTACTACAACAAGGTAAATGAAAAAAATAGAATTCATGTGGTTGGAATAGATAGATTATTGTGATCAGAAGATGCAGAGGATTATGACTGCACAGTTAGAATAGAATAGAATAGAATAGAATAGAATAGAATAGAATAGAATAGAATAGAATAGAATAGAATAGAATTTTTTATTGACCAAGTGTGATTGGACACACAAGGAATTTGTCTTGGTGCATATGCTCTCAGTGTACATAAAATAAAAGATACGTTTATCAAGAATTATACAGGTAGTCCTCGACTTACAACAGTTCATTTAGTGACCATTCAAAGTTACAACGGCCCTGGAAAAAAGTGACTTATGACCGTTTTTCACAGTTATGTCCGTTGCAGCATTTCCTATGGTCCCATGATCAAAATTCAGAAGATTGGCAACTGGTTCATCTTTATGACAGTTGCAGTCTCCCGGGGGCATTTGATCAGCTTCTGCAACTTTCTGACAAGCAAAGCCAATGGGGAAGCAAAATTCGCTTAACAACCGTGTGACTAACTTAACAAATGCAATGCTTTACTTAATAAATGTGGCAAGAAAAGTCGCAAAATGGGGCAAAACCCACTTAACAAATATTTCACCTAGCAACATAAATTTTGGGCTCAATTGTGGTCATTACTCGAAGATTACCTGTATACAAGCTAGGGAAAATATTCTAGATGAATATTTATTTATTTATTTTTATTTTTTATTTTATTTTTCAATTTATATACCGCCCTTCTCCCTGAGGACTCAGGGCGGTGCACAGCCAAAATTAAAAACATGAAATACAAATATTAAAAACAATTAAAATCTATATAAATTTGGCCCAAAATTTAAAAAACCACAAACCAATTAAACCTTTAAAAAATTTTAAAAATTTCTTCCTAAGCCAGCCCGGCTTGTTGGAAAAAGTGGGGTTTAAGGGCACGGCGGAAGGCACTGAGGTCTTGGATTCTCCAATATTGCACATATCATAACAGGCACACTGTACAGTATAATTATTTTGGCTTCTGGTTTATTGGATTAATGTAATTAATATCCAAATCAATGTACAGAGATTTTTTTTTCTTTATTGTGGTAACAAAATGTTGTAGAAGCATTTTTCCTGCAAAGCACTGCGAGCAAAACTTGCCATTCATAAGACAAAATCTTGAATAGTGCACTTACCTATATTCATCTTTTATCTCTATCCAAAAATAGTAAAGTAATAGTAATTTTCCATATCCAGAAAATAGACATAAAATATAGCCAAAGCAGAAGCAGGCCAACCTATTCTCCAAAGCACTTGAGGGCAGGACACACAATAATGGGTGGAGGACCATTAAAGAGACATCCAACCTAGAATTAAGGAGAATTTTTCTGACACTGAGAACAATTAATCACTGGAACGGCTTGACTTCAGAAGTTGTGGGTGCTCCATCACTGGAGGTTTTCAAGATGAGATAGGGCAATCATTTGTCCAAAATGATGTAGCGTCTCCTACTTGAGTGTTGGACTAGAAGACCTCGCTCCTCCCTTCCAACTGTTATTCTTTGTTTTATGTCCTTTACATGTTGTGAATTCATGGCCATATTTATGCAGTACCTCAGTAAATTACCTTGATGTTAATAAATGTTTAAAAAAAATATCCTAATTATCATCTACAATAGGATTGGAAGAATTGTTTTGTTTTGTTTTGCTTTGTTCTAAGGCAATCAGTAGCTATTAATTTTTTCATCGTTCCCACCACCCATCTCCTTCCACTTATGGCTGTATGACTGTAACTTCGTTGCTTGTATCCTTACGATTTATATTGATATTGTTTCCTGATTGCTTATTTGTACCCTATGACTATCATTAAGTGTTGTACCTTATGATTCTTGATGAATGTATCTTTTCTTTTATGTACACTGAGAGCGTACGCACCAAGACAAATTCCTTGTGTGTCCAATCACACTTGGCTAATAAAGAATTCTATTCTATTCTATTCTATTCTATTCTATTCTATTCTATTCTATTCTATTCTATTCTATTCTATCCTATCCTATCCTATCCTATCCTATCCTATCCTATCCTATCCTATCCTATCCTATTCTATTCTAGCTTATGTTACCTTCTTCACAGTGAATGGCCTGGTAGGCAAATCAGGAAGTTGAATACAGTAGTTCAGTGGCTCTCAACCTGTGGCCTTCGGACCCTGGAAGGGGGCACGGTGTCATCACAGGAGGTCCACAAAGGCTTAAAGAAATGTTGGGATTTAAATCTTGAGTTAAGTTTTGGGAGACGGTGGCCAGGGTCCCTGCAGTAGTTCATTTCATTGGGTTTGTATCTAGGGTACAGAACTGCAGCCTAAAGAATCATCAGTTGGTAACTACAATGGGTACTTCTAAAAGATGCATTTCATAACATATATGGGCTGTAAAAATTCTGATGAGATTTTTGTTCATCATATATGATAGGCTTACCTTTGTTACATAGCTTAACTACAGTGTAAAGGACAATCTGCTCCCAATATTTTTTTAAAAAGTTTTGAATATGTCAAAATAAATTTAGAGATCAGAAAAAGTAATTGACAATTGCTATTTGTAATGGTTTAATCTGTCACTCATACAGTATTCAGATATAAAAAGTTTGATGCAACCAGAACAATGCATATGTATTTAAAAGTTGTAAAATATTATGTGCCCACTTGTCAGCAGTTACAAACTATTGCTTAGTGAGAATCATTCTGTGGTCAGAATCTACGAAGCAGACACCGGACTGCTGTCTCTGTTACATCTACCTGTAAAGAACCCTCAAGATTTTTACTCATTGGGGGATATTGTGGCCAATGGACAAAGCCTGGATGGGAAAATAATCAATGTTCTTGCTGCTGTTAAATCGGTAAATCATGCCAACTGTAACAAATCAAAGAGAGCTCACATTATAGCCTGAAAAATGTAATGGATTTCTGTATAGATAAGAATTTATTGGGTCATAGAAGAGCTGGGAGGAGGACCTAATGTGTTACTCAGCAGCCCCTTGGCTTAATTTAGCACTAAGAAAGGTTAATGAATAACATCAGTCAAATATTTTATAAACAATATTCTATAAAACTGTCATGGATTTAAGATGCAGCCTCAGTAAGGTACTAAAGGTTTATTTAAAATTTCTGCATAGGTTAATTAGTAATCATGAGGTTAAGTATTAATGCTAAATGCAGTATTCAAATTAAGTTGAATCTCACCCTTGTACCTTTATCCTCCTGTTCCTGCATAATCCATGTAAACTCTTCTGCACAAACCATACTGAAAAATACATAAGCTCAGGGGTGGGCTTCAAAAATTTTAGCAAGAGGTTCTCTGCCCGGTTGCTGGGTGGGCGTCACCACGGTGGGCGTGGCCTAGTTGGCCTCCTGCACCATGGCAGGGGGGGGATTTTTGCCCTCCCCAGGCTCCGGAGGCTTTCCTCGAGCCTCCGGGAGGGTGAAATGGCCTCCCCAGGCTCTGGAGGCTGAAAACGGGCCCATTTCCAGCCTTCCCGAACTTCCTGTAGGCCCGGAAGTCTTCCATCAGTTGTTGGATGTTCATCTATGATAGTATCAAACCAGCGAGTTAACCATTAATACTTCTTTGTAATAAGAATTACTATTTAGTAATAAGAATTGCTAACAAATTCTATAGGAATTCTTATTGTTTTATAAGTGACAAAGTGAAATGAGAACACTTCACTTCCTATAGCAATATTCCACAATTTGATAATATCCCACAATTTGTTAAGTTGTTCTCAGAAGGTTGTGACTTTCTGAGAAGAATAAACTCTACATTTATCCACCTACACACTGCAATTATAATCAGTGCTTCTATAACTTAATTTCTGCTGAAATGGGTTTAAGTTTGAATAGTGGTAACATGAACAGTTTTATTTAACAAAACAGATATAGATCTTATGATCAAGATCTTTTTCTTTTTTTTCCCTTTACAAAGGTTGGTGAACCAAAATATTTTGCTACTTCAGACAGGCGTAAAGGCCACAGGTGTGAAGTAAGGCTGTACGATGACAGCGAGTCTTCCTTTACAATGATATGGTAAGCACTGGTTGAAGCCATAATTCAGCTATATATGAAGGAATACAAAAATCTGAAGCAACAATGGGTATAAATGCATACTATAATCACTAACCAAACCCTGTTAGTTGTGTCACCTTTGTGAAATAGAGGATTCATTAAGGCATAGGTTTCTTAAGAGCTTTGAATATAGAATCACCTTTCATTTGTGTTAACCCATCAGGAAAAGTTCTGCATCCAGAACTCTCTAAAGAGAAGTTCCTGCATCTGTAGGCTTTTAAATGTGAAAAAAAGGGTTTTAATTCTATTGTTCACATATATGTATAAAAAGTAAGGAAACTTACCTCAATGGAAATATGCAAGAAATTTTAGCAAGACAAAGGGTGTTGTAGTCCTGGAAAAAAGAGATAACATTCAAAAATAGCTCAGGTTTATTTTGTTTTGTTTTGTTTTGTTTTGTTTTGTTTTGTTTTGTTTTGTTTTGTTTTGTTTTGTTTTGTTTTTTTATGGGGGTTTGGGAAAGTAACCACAGAGTCAGGTAGTGCATTCCAGGCATTGACCACTCTGTTGCTGAAGTCATATTTTCTGCAATTGAGTTTGGAGCAGTTTACCTTGAGTTTGTATCTATTGTTTGCCCGTGTATTATTGCAGTTGAAGCTGAAGAAGTCATTGACAGGTAGGACGCTGTGGCAGATAATTTTGTGTACTCCGCTTAGGTCAGACCGAAGGCGGCGTAGTTCTAAGTTGTCTAAACCCAAAATTTCAAGCCTGGCAGCATAAGGGATTCTGTTGTGAGCAGAGGAGTGAAATAAAGGTTGATGCCTCCCTGATTCACTGGAGAATAAGAAGAAGTGTGGGAGACCCAGCACAGACTTGCAAGATTCTCTTACAGGCCATCTCAATAAAAGTAGCTCTAGTCTGCAATTAGTCAGTGGAACAGCTTGACTCCTGGAGTTGTGGGTGCTCCATTGTTGGAGATTTTTAAGAAAGGACAGGACAACCATTTGTACAGGATGGAATAAGGATTCCTGCTTTGCTCAGAGGGTTGAACTAGTAGACCTCCAAGTTTCCTTCCAGCCTTATGACTCTATTCTTATTTCTCCTCCTATTTCCTGGTTTGTTCTATCTACGGTACCAGGGCTTACAACAAGGTAGATAATTGAGATTAACATTTTAGGAAAATGTGAGCAAAAGATGCAGCCTGGAGAGACAAAGAACATGTGCATTCTATGCTATTTGCTATTAGCATGACCAATTACTTCAGTCTTCAAATGCATTTAGCTGACAGTTCACTAGCCTTACACTTTCTGGGTTTTTTGAGGTCTGTGGAGAACTTCAGATTCAATTCCAAAAAGGGGCTTCAGAACATATGGAGACATAAACGTATCACCTGCCTATCAGTGTTTTAAACAGATCCAGATATGTACTGTATTCATGTCTTCCATATGTTCAGAAACATCTTTTTAAAAGCATATCCAAAGTGCTGTACAGCCCTAATATTTTGAACCTCTTAAATCTAACCTGTCTGGCTGTGTCTTCCCATATGAAAACTTCTACCTATTGAGTAATAAGGGCATCTTCCCATACCAGATGCATGTGGGAAGATAAAAGAAAGGATCTTTCCATTTGCTCTGGAATTCATTTAATAGGATAGCTCCTAATAGTGCAATTTTTAGAAAGAGTGGTAGGAGAGAAACATCTTATCAAGTATTTAGTTTGTTTTTCTTTTCTTTTTTTTACTAGTTTTAAATATGTATATGCTTACATGCTTTTGATATTTGAATACTTCTCTAATAATATACACTCATAAAAATTTTAAATAAATAAGCATTTATTTATATTAACCTAATGCTATTATTTTCTCCAGCTGGGACAATGAATCTATCCAGTTTGCACAGAGCTGGGTACCCCAAGAAACAGGTATCATTTTTTTTTCATTTTTCACAAACATTACCAGATTTTATCTAAAGTATCTAAAGTTTGCCTGGGATAACAAAACACACTGTATTTTCTATTCTTAGTAATATTTGCATCTGATATAAGAATAAACTTTGACAAATTTAGAAACCGTATGATTGCAACTGTAATCTCAAAGACCATCATTACTATTAACCCTGGTAAGTAATTGTTCTTAAGTTCTGTTTAAAGTATCATAAATGCCTTATTCTAGTCCTTTTAATGAACAGAAGGTTGGGAATTTAAAGTCAATGGTTTGGATCTGAAATAAAACTCTCTATAAGTATAAATAACGTATCATAAAAAATTGTAGCTATGCATCTACTATTCAAGGATTTGACCTCCAACTTTTTTTTTTTTAAAGAAAGCAAATTTAATAGAAATCTCCTGCTCAGCCTTATTTTTTCCTTATATGGCCATTTTATAAGTTTGAAGTTATAATGACTCTGTTCCCCAATCATGTATAGCCTCATTTATAAAACTTTCATCTAAAATTCTTATGATATATTGTGGCATTGCACTTATTTACTTGTATTAATATTATATTGAAAAATATTTTTTTCAAGATACAGCGGAAGCCAATATTTTATTCAAATTTATAAGACAAAGTCCAGAAATGTTAGACTTGGATGATGAAATGATAGATCAGTGGAGATCAGACTCCATAAATTGTGAGTGTTCTTTTAAATACCGATAGTCTGTTTTTAACATGATGATTGAGATCTTAGTTGTCAATTCTGTCTTTTAAAGAGTAGCCATGCCTTATAACTGACTGGAACTTTGCTTAAACAACTATTTTATCTATTTATGAAAAAAATAAATAAATCATGTTTTGCGAGGATAAGGCACACAAATTGGAGAAATAATAGTTTTAAAATGAAGAATAATACAGAGATATATTCAGCCCTATAGTATTGGCTAATGAATACAAGGTTAGGCCAATCTGGGAAACCAGATTCATATAAAAATAACAATTCTGGTTATATTCACAAATGAGAAAACAATTGTAATATCCACTGAAATATGTGGAAGTTTCCTAAATCACACAACATGCTAACCCATAATGGCTTAGTACAGGTAATCTTCGACTTAGCACAGTTCATTTAATGACCAAAGTTACAAAGGCACTAAAAAAAGCAACTTATGACCCGTATTTCAGTTACATCCTTTGCAGCTATCCCCATGATCATGTGATCAAAATTCAGATGCTTGGCAACTGGTTCATACTTATGACCGTGGCTGTGTCTCAAGGTCATGTGATCCCCTTTTGTGACTTTCTGACAAGCAAATCAATGGGGAAACCAGATTCACTTAACAATCGAGTTACTAACTTTGTCAACTGCAGGGATTCATTTAACAACTGAGGCAAGAAACAACGTAAATGGGAAAAAACTCACTTAAATGTGTCAGCAACAGAAATTTTGGGCTCAATTGTGGTCATAAGTTGAGGACTACTTGTATGATATATGAATCTAGCCACTGTGGTTTATAAATCATGGTTAGTACATTATTTGCTTATTTTAGGAATTTGGGGGTCATTTAGAGAACCAGTTTGGTGTAGTGGTTAAAGTGGTGAGTTAGAAATCAGGAGACTTGAGTTCTACATGAAAGCCAGGTGATTTGGGACCAGTCTCTCTCTCTCAGCCCAGCCCAGCCCACCTCACAGGGTGGTTGTTGTGGGGAAGATAAGAGGAGGAAGGTGTATTATGTATGTTCCCTGCCTTGAGTTATTTATAAGGTAATAAAGGCAGGATAAAAATCTAACAAATAAATAAATAAATAACATCACGCTGTCCTTAAAGCCACCTGGCTTTGCAGAATGAACTATTCATATTTGAGTCTTAGACTTTAGTCTAAGTTCTGTTGTTTTCAGATGTGCTTTTTTTTCATTTTTTATCTATAGTGCAGACAATAGTTGATGTTTATACAGTGGAACAATTAAAGATGAAAACTTTGCAAAATGAAGGAAAACCAGAACCATTTTATGGCATTATTTTTGCCTACATTTCTACATTGAATATTGATAATGAAGCAAGTAAAGTAATACGAAACAGGTGGTAAGCACCTCATTAAGGGAAACTGGGTAGCATTGTGGACATTTATTCTCTTCTCAGTTTCAAATTAGCCTGGAAAACCATTGAATTTGTACCCTGAAACAAACTCTTTAGGCCCTGCAATCTAACCCCCTGCTCAGTGCAGTAAGCCTAATTAAAACATGCCTGCCAGATGGTTCCCCCGCTTCTGCTTTAATCTATTCAGCGAAGTCTACTATCTCCTTTGATTATGGATTCAATTGTCAAACCGCTTTCCAATCATCAGTCCCCTTAATTTGAAGGGGGGGAAAAGCTATAACAGAAAAATCCATTTGAAAATCAGTTAACTATACCTATTAATATGTTTCCTTTTTTTTTCCTTGTAGTGTTAAATGCCACTATGTTATCAATGAAAAGACAAATACATGTTCTTTTTGTAGCAGCACTAACTCCTTAGATGCTGACACTGTGCCAATGTTTGCCAGCTTTGATTTACTAGTTGACCTAACTGACCATACAGGAACTCTTCACTTTTGCAGTCTCTCAGATACAATAGCCGAAGAAACTTTAGGTCACACGGTAAGAACATAGGAAACAGTTTTCTACTTCCTGAATTTATTCTTTTAGGTTTGTTATGCCAGTAAAAATCCTGGAATCTCTCATCAATGTTTGAGGCCAATTCAGATGATGGGAATTTGTGGATACCAAAAGGCTTGTAAATCTGCAGCATTTAATGAATTGGGCACCATTCAATTAAAAGCTATTCCAGCTTAAATTTACTAAACTCTTACGAAATCAAAAGGCACTACTATTAGTTATCACAAGTTAGATATCAAAAGATTTCATTAGAGTCAGTTTAGCCTAGTGGTTAAGGCACCAGATTAGAAAGCTCGGGAATTCCAGTCTGGCCTTAGCCATGAAAACCAGCTGGGTAACTTTGGGCTAGTCACTCTGTCTCAGCCCAACCTACCTCACAGGGTTGTTGTTGGGGAAATAGACAAAGGTGTGTTGGATATGTTCCCAATTTCTAAAAATAATAAAGGCAGGATACAAAGAGTTTTGCTTCACATATATTATGACCATTTTATAGCAATGAATTGGATATAAATAATTTATTCCTGAGGTAGCGTTTATATTGAAGTGATAATTACAGATAGATGTTTAATAATTTTGATTCAATTTAATGTATTTTCTTTCCAGACAAATTATGAACATTGCATTTACTGCGTTATTTGCCCTGCAGAAAATTTAGCTTTCTGATCATTATACCACATTCTGGAGATGAACATTTTATTGTTGAATTATGTTTGATAGCAGACCTACGTGTAGTTTTAACAAACTGATCTGTGATCACTCCACTAGGTCCAAGAATTTCAAGCTCTGACAGAGACACAAAAGACAACATTAAAATGGCAATTCCTTCTAGAAAGAAGCAAAATTTACTTTAAGGTAGGTATAATAAATAATAATAAAGCATGATAAAATATGGAAGAGCCAGTTAGGTGTAGTGATTAAGAAGTTGATCTAGAAACTAGAAGACTGAATTCTAGGCTTTCTTTAGCTATGAAAGCCAGCTGGGTAGGCCATTCACTCTCTCTCAGCCCAATCCCACTTCATGCAGGTTATTATGGGGAAAAATGAGGCAGGAATATTAAATATGTTTGCTGCTTTGAGTTTGTATTTATCTAATAATAGAGTAATCATCATCATCATAAAATCATCAAAATGCAGATTGTGCAAAGCAGAGAAAACAGTAGATCATATACTCAGTTTGTGCAAGAAGATTGCACAACATTATAAAAAAAAAACATCAGTCACCAAAATGATTCACTGAAACATCTGTAAAAATTATCATGTTCCAGCACAGGTAGTCCTCGACTTATGACCACAACTGAGCCCAAAATTTCCATTGCTAAGCAAGACTGTTAACTTAGTTTTGCCCGGTTTTACAACCTTTCTTGCCATAATTGTTAAGTGAATTGCTACAATTATTAAGTTAATAACATGGTTATCTGGCTTCCTCATTGACTTTGCTTGTCAGAAGGTCGTAAAAAAAGATCACATGACCCTGGGACTGTAACCATCCTAAATGTGAACCAGTTGCCAAGCATCCAAATTTTGATCACATGACCATGGGGATACTGCAACGGTCATGTGAAAAATGGTCATAACTCATTTTTTTCAGTGGTGTTGTAACTTTGAACAGTCACTAAACAAATATTTGTAAGTGGAAGACTCTCTGTATGACATCCTAAATTCTTGGGAAGAGATTTGATGCATAGGAGAGCCAACATCAGCTGTGATTCCACATTATTATGAATATAATTACACAATAATATATTCCTAAAGATACTACTATTTCTCACAACTTGACCGGTCTACTAACGTCTCAAAATCTATGATCAGTTTCTCCCACTGAATGAAAAAGTTTGATCTGCAAGAAAGTCATGTCTACAATATTTTGAAACACAGTATCCAGAAACTTAAAAAAAAAACAAAGATTTTTCTAAACAACACAGTACAGAATGTTTACAAATTACTAAATTCATATGTGTCACTGCTCAAATATTTTGTCAAGATTCTCTAGCGGTATAAAATCTTAGGAGATACAAATGGAACATAGGGTGCTTCCATGCTTTTCTAATAAATACTATTTATGAAACAGTCTACGTAACGTAAAATGTTCAGCCTGTCAACCTAGAACTTGTAAAAAGAGAAAATCTTTAAAAATTGTTTGTAAAAATGGTGATCTGTACATTTACTTCCATAGGTTATTTTTTCTACCACAGCACGAACTGGGCTAAGAGTGAAACTGCTTTCTTGCAAGCTAGCAGATCCAGTGGAGGCTTGCCAAAACTTGCCTGAAAAAGGAAAATAACTGCATTATGCATCTTTAGAACAATTGGAAGGAATTCTTATTTAATCATAGCACGGCAAAATGACATCTGTAGAGGAGACTCCATGCAAAGACTTGTAAAATATACTTTATTACGGTGGCAAGAGTTTATCTGGCTTTTGAGAGTTTGTTTCACTTTCCAATTTAGTTTTCCATTATAATGTGGAAGAAATATAAGTTTTCAATATTCTTCAGAAGCATGTTTAATTTCAGATGACCTCAAAAAGGAAGAATATTCAGGACTTTTTGTAGTGAGAGATGGTTCAGTAGTTTAGAGTTTCAGCTGGGACAGAAGCACCATCTTCATGTGTTGCACAAGCCATGGATTTATTAAGTGTCATGAAGGAGTGTCCTATCTCAGCACTTCCCCATTCCCCCCCCTTTAAGTGTTCAACAGGGAAAATTTATCTACTGTATAACCTCTGTTGCAAAAATGCTAACTATATTTTGTTTCATAGATAACCGGCAAGTAATATTATAAACTGACTGGCATTTATTCAGAGAAACAAAAAGAAGTTTTGATTTCATTTCAAAGTGCTTTTAAAATCTCATCATATAAAATACAATTTTTAAACAATATAATTTGCTGCAAAATTCCTTCATTATTTGGTTATAGTTTTAAGAAAGGTAGATTATAACTATAGGATACAAAGTGTTTTGCAGTCTTAAAAATATTTAGGCTTTGTATTTATAGTTACTGGCCTTTTCCTGACAAGCCAGAAATAGGAAATAGACAACCAATATAGCTTCTGAACTTGAGCTTGCCAAAGGGATACAGCCAGGATATCTTATCTGCAAATCATAGCAAAAGAACTCCAGTATTAAGGTCTGTTTATCTGCTTGAACTAGGCAACTGGTTTATGTTTCTCGCCATATTGCTATATTCTGGTTTATTTTATATGGAAATAAAGTCACTGTATTTGATAAACAAGGCAATCAAACCGGTCAGTCCTAGAGGAGATCAACCCTGACTGCCCTTTAGAAGGCCAGATCCTAAAGATGACACTCAAATCCTTTGGCCACCTAATGAGAAGGAAGGACTCCCTGGAGAAGAGCCTAATGCTGGGAAAGATTGAGGACGAAAGAAGAAGGGGACGGCAGAGAACGAGGTGGCTGGATGGAGTCACTGAAGCAGTCGGCATGAGCTTAAATGGACTCCAGAGGATGGTAGAGGACAGGAAGGCCTGGAGGAACGTTGTCCATGGGGTCACGATGGGCCGAACATGACTTTGCAACTAACAATAACAACAATCTGGTAAACAATAGGTTGGGATCTTGCACTCTGTGAGAGAGAAGGACATATCATTGAAGGCTCTTCTGAAAGCCTACTATTTTCCATCTTGGAGGTGGGGGATAGGGAAGAAATCTGGCCTTTTGTGTGAGCAATGAGAAAAGTCCTGAGAAAAGTCTCCAAAGGTGCTTTTTCATCTTCGAAGTGAAACACCTTCAAGGAAAAACCAAGGAAGTCCAGTTGCCTTTTGAAAAAGCACCTTTGGGACAAGCCGTGACCTGAAGGACTGAGAATCTCCTTAGATGCTTCCAGAGAAAAGGAACTTCCAGACATCAGGGCCGGCTTTTCTGCCGCGCTACCTGAAAGCGTACGCTCAGCAGCCCCTCAATCCCGGCTTCTATTTCATCCTTCTCTTGCACAGCAGAAACTCCTTCGGGGGATCCTGTTAAGATGATATCTCCTTCTTCCAAGGTGACAATTCCGCTGATGTAGCTGATGATGTACGGAATGGTGAAAATCATGCTGGATGTCTTGCCTTCTTGCCGCAACTCTCCATTCACCTTTAGCCAGATCTTCAACTGATGTGGATCTGGGATTTTCTCCTTGGGCACAAAGTCGCTGACTGGACAGGAGGTATTGAATCCTTTGGCCAGAGTCCAAGGAAGCCCTTTCTTCTTGCACTCCTCCTGAATATCCCTGGCTGTCATGTCCAGGCAGAGAGCATAGCCTGCCACGTGACCCATGGCGGCTTCCTGAGGGACGGCCTGGGCTCTCTTCCCAATCACCACGCCCAGTTCCACCTCGTGGTGCAGCTTATGGCAATAGTAGGGCTGGATGATGGGATGGCCTTCCCTGACGTAGGCCGAGGAGGGCTTGAGGAAGAAGAGCGGCTCCGTGGGGAGAGCATTCTTCAACTCCTTGGCATGGGCTGCGTAATTCCTCCCCACACAGAAGATGTTCTTGCCCCATTCCCAGAACTTGCCTATAAGCTTTGAGGAAGCCATGCTGCCGTTATCAGCTCTTCAAAGCAAGCCAACTCTGCAGGCAGCAGCTGTCGTGTAGCTTTCCTCGAAGGGCAACACTTTCTCCATGCAGCTATCTGGATCCCTGATTCCAGTCTGGGGGAAAAAAATGAATTAATATATAAGGTTTGGGCATTTTCCCCATGCAGCTTCATTTTTATTTTTATTTTTTGCTTAAAAATTCTACACCCAGGTCCAGTGGTGAAATCCAATTTTTTTTACTACCGGTTCTGTGGGTGTGGCTTGGCAGGCATGGCTTGGTGGGCGTGGCAGGGGAAGGATCCCCTGCAAAATCCCCATTCCCTCCCCACTCCTGAGGGAAGGACACTGCAAAATCTCCATTCCCTCCCCATTCCTGGGGGAAGGATACTGCAAAATCTCCATTCCCTCCCCACTCCTGAGGGAAGGATATTGCAAAATCTCCATTCCCACTGCACTTCTGGGGGAAGGACACTGCAAAATCCCCATTCCCACCCCACTCCAGGGGAAAGGATACTGCAAAATCCCCATTTCCTCCCCACTCCTGGGGTCAGCCAGAGGTGGTATTTGCTGGTTCTGCGAACTGCTCAAAATTTCCGCTACCGGTTCTCCAGAACCTGCCCGAACCTGCCCAGGGATTTCACCCCTGCCCAGGTCATATACAGGTAGTCCTCGGCTTTCAACATTCTGCTTGGTTGCTGTTCAAAGTGACACTGAAAATTGTGACTTATGCCCGTTTTTCAAAGTTACGACCTTTGCAGCTTCCCCATGATCACATGATCAAAATTCAGAGGCTTGGCCACTGGTTCATATTCATGACGGTCGCAGTATCCCAGGGTCACGTGATTCCCTTTTGCGACCTTCTGACAAACAAAGTCAAAGGGGAAAGCCAGATTCGCTTAACAACTGGGTTACTAATTTATCAACTGCGGTGATTCACTTAACAACTGTGAAAAGAAAGGTCATAAAATGAACAAATATCTCCCTTAACAACAGAAGTTTTGGGCTCAATTTTGGTTGCAAGTCGAGGACCACCTGTATTTCTTTGTTAGATTATATAGTGGACAAATTGGGAAAAAAAAGTCAAGCTAGCCTACATTAAAAATGAAACAAAAGCAATCAGAATGCCAAAGGTACAAAATGAAACGACGCTCTGGGGATTAATCATGAGAGGCACGCTGAGGGTCCCATGGGTGAAAGAGCGTGTGGTTTTGGATCCAGAAAGTGTGCTTCTGTGCCAGCATTTGCTCTTTGGAACACCAATCCTCCCCCCCCAAGATTAAATTTGCCATGACCCTGATGATTCTTCGGGAGCTCTAATAGATTAACAGAATTGGAAGGGACCTTGTAGGTCATCTAGTCCAACCCCCCGCCCAAACAGGAGACCCTACTTAAAGACTTGGATGTCTTCCTGACCAGGCGGGGTCAAATTCTTAGCTGGAGCCTGTGAGGTACCCTGGTTTCCCCAAAATAAGACATCCCCTGATAATAAGCCCAATCGGGCTTTTGAGCGCATGGCAATAAGGCCAAGCGCTTATTTCAGGGTTCAAAAAAATATAAGACAGGGTCTTATTTTCGGGAAAACATGGTAGGAGGTCCTAGGATTTTCAAATCTTTTCAGGCTGGGGAACCTGTCTGGAACCCCTGATCAAGAGACAGAAGTCTAATGACAGAAAATGTGCTATATTCAAGGGTTGGGGTTTTTTGGGGGGTGGGGAGCAGGATTGATTATTGCTGCTTTGCCCTTAGCCCCTAATGAAACCCTATCTAGTTCTTGCAAAAGAACTCAGTGGGACACAGTTTATAACCAGAACAAATCCATTCCTTGTCTTTTTGAAACTTAAAAGTAATCTCTAAGTCATCCGGAAAAGAAGGAATACGGATGAAATCCAGGTTTCTGCTGCTTCATGGTACATCTTATTCAGCAACTGCCTTCTCACATCTGGATTTGCAGATCCACCATCCTAATTGCTGCTTCTAGCAGAAACGAACACTGATAAAAGGGGGCGGATAACAGTAATACAATAATATTAATAACATAATGATCTTTTCTTATTTTTCATTTTCTGAAAAATATTATTTTGAAGCCAGAGAAAAGCTTCCATATGCTGGGATTGAACTCTGTTCCTCAAGAGAGCCTTCCTGCATTTGGTCACTGATTAATTATTCTTATTAGGTCAGTTTGGATCAGATTCTCTGGAAAGCCTCCCTATTTCAACATCTATTGAAAACCTCAGTCTGATGTAAAATTGCAGAGGAAAACCTACCCAAAATTTTGCAGAGTTTATTACTAAATAAAGGAGGAATTGGGGACTGAGGCCCTGCCCAGGCAAGAGAGCATCTGTGTGGGGCTCAACCCCAGCAAGCCTGGCTCCCACGCTCACCTTCTGCTCAGCCAGAGGCTTCATTTCCAGAATAGAATAGAATAAACAGAACAGAAATACAGAATAGAATTAAATGTAGAATAGAATGTAGAAAATAGAATAGAAAAAAGGGATTGGAAATAGCACTTAGACCTATATACAGTGCTTTACAGCCCTCTCTAAGCGGTTTACAGAGTCAGCCTCTTGCCCCAACAATCTGGGGGCAATTTTATCCACCTCGGAAGGACGGAAGGATGAGTCAACCTTGAGTTGGTCAGAATTGAACTGCTGACAGTCAGCAGAGTTAGCCTGCAATACTGCATTCTAACTACTGGGAAGGAAGGAAGGAAGGAAGGAAGGAAGGGAGGGAGGGAGGGAGGGAGGGAGGGAGGGAGGGAGGGAGGGAAGGAAGGAAGGAAGGAAGGAAGGAAGGAAGGAAGGAAGGAAGGAAGGAAGGAAGGAAGGAAGGAATAGTACTTAGACTTATATGCTGCTTCACAGTGCTTTACAGCCCTCTCTAAGCGGTTTACAGAGTCAGCCTATGGCCCCCAACAATCTGGGTCCTCATTTTACCCACCTTGGAAGGATGGAAGGCTGAGTCAATCTTGAGCCTGATGAGATTCAAACTGCCAAATTGCAGGCAGCCGGCAGGCAGCAGAGGTAGAAAGAGCCTGCGCCACTGCGGAAATTAATAGAATAGAATAGAATAAAATAATAGAATAAATTAGAATTTATAATAATATAAAATGCAATGCAATGCAAGAATAGAATAGAATAATAGAACAGATTAGAATTTATAATAATATGCAATGCAATGCAACGCAACGCAATACAATACAGGAATGGACAGGACCCAGATTGTGGGGGCAATAAACTGACTTTGTATAAATATACAAAAGTATGAAGGCTATTGCTTAACACATTGTAAGCCGTCCTGAGTCTTCGAAGAAGAGCAGCATATAAATCAAATTAAAAAAAAATGGAACGGAACAGAACAGAACAGAAAGGGACCTTGGAGGTCTTTTAGTCCAGCCCCTTGCTGAAGCAGGAGAACCTATACCATCTCAGACAAGCGACTGTCTAGTCTCTTCTTAAAAAACCTCCAAATAATAGTAATAGTAATAGTAATAGTAATAGTAATAGTAATAGTAATAGTAATAGTAATAGTAATAGTAATAAATGCAGGCCTACATACACACTGGTAAAGAAGGGAGCTGCGCCAGCCTCCACTTACCTTCCCTTGCAGCTCCTTCCTTAGACCTTCACCCTTGGCACGCGCACCGCCCGCGCAAGCTCCGCCTGAGAGGGGCGGGCCCTTGGAGGCAGCGCGGCCATTGGACGGCGTCGGGGGGCGGGTCGGGGGCGTGGCGGCGCGCCTGCGCCAAGGGGAGCCCCCGCCGGAGCGGCTGGGGTCGGGGCGCGCGGGCTTCGGTTGCGGCGCCTCCGCCTCGGACCATGGTCTGCGCGGGCGGCGGGAGGATCGGCCCCGCTCTGCTGCTGCTGCTGGCTGGCCCGCTTCGGAGGGGTACGTGCCGGAGGGTCCTCGGGGCCGGGAAGGAGCCCCGCCGGGGCAGGCTCCTCTCGGGGAGGCCCCGCTGCCCTCCAAGCGGCGTCCCGCGGAGGCTTCGGAGAGAAGGAGCGAGCGGGCCGGGCGAGGGGCGGCTGGACGGGGAAGACGTTGCAGCGGCGGCGGCGACGCTGGGTCGAAGGTCCTGCGCTCCCCTCTCAGCCTATCCAGCAGCCCTGGAAGCCCGTCACCGCCGCTGACACCTGGGTGGAAGAGTTTTCCTGCCTTTTCCAGGTCACGAGCAGTGGGGGGAAAAAGGACGTTAAATTAGGAAAATGCCCGATGGGAATTTTCTCCCGGTCCCGCTGTCAGGTTGATGATCTGTTTTTCCTCCCTTCCATTCATAGAGCAAAGGAAGCAGTGATACCTATTGGGTAAAGCTTTGCTAGCCCTCCACCACAGCACTCACCCGATTAGGACAAATTGAGGGGTGGGTGTCACACCAAGGTGGCATCCTTTTTTATTGATCAACTAACAGAGTAACAGGAGGGGCCTTGGAGGTCTTCTAGTCCAACCCCATCTCTCAGGCAGGAAACCCATGAAATGTGTTTGAATACTACTCGCTCTGGTTGGTACCAGTAGTTAGGCTGTTGCTTTGAGCTCCAAGCTTGGCAGTTTGGTTGCAAACATTTCGTCACCATTCGAGGAGACATCATCAGTGCACTTTGAGATGGACTCGTCTGTCAGAACACAGGCCTTTAAATCCCTTTTTATGAGATGCAGAGTAGAGCAGAGCAGAGCAGAGCAGAGCAGAGCAGAGCAGAACAGAACAGAACAGAACAGAACAGTAACAGTATTTTGAGAAGATCTTGGGAAGAGATACTTCCTAGAGAATACAATTCTTTATTAGGCAAGTGTGATTGGACACACATGGAATTTGTCTTGGTGCATACGCTCTCAGTGTACATAAAAGAAAAGATACATTTGTCAAGAATCACTTAATGATAGTCATAGGGAAGCAATCAAATCATAGTAAGAAACAGTCAATATAAATCGTAAGGATACCAGCAACAAGGTTACAATCATAAGTGGGAGGAGATGGGTGATAGGAACGATGTGAAGATTAATAGCAATGCAGACTTAATAACTAGTTTGACAGTGTTGAGGGAATTATTTGTTTAGCAGAGTGATGACGTTGGGGAAAAAACTGTTCTTGTGTCTAGTTGTTCTGGTGTGCAGTGCTCTATAGCGTCGTTTTGAAGGTAGGAGCTGAAACAGTTTATGTCCAGGATGTGAGGGGTCTGTAAATATTTTCACAGCCCTCTTTTTGACTCGTGCAGTATACAGGTCCTCAATGGAAGGCAGGTTGGTAGTAATTGTTTTTTCTGCAGTTCTAATTATCCTCTGAAGTCTGTGTCTGTCTTGTTGGGTTGCAGAACCAAACTAGAAAGTTATGGAGGTGCAGCTGACAGAGTCAATAATTCCTCTGTAGAACTGTATCAGCAGCTCCTTGGGCAGTTTGAGCTTTCTGAGTTGGCACAGAAAGAACATTCTTTGTTGTGCTTTTTTGATGACGTTTTTGATGTTGGGTGTCCATTTTAAGTCTTGAGATGTGCTAGAACCTAGAAATTTGAAGGTCTCTACTGTTAATACTGTGTTGTCTAGTATTGTAAGAGGTGGTAGTATGGAAGGGTTTCTCCTAAAGTCCACCACCATTTCTATGGTTTTGAGTGTATTCAGTTCCAGATCGTTCTGGTCGCACCACGATATAGTCTCTATATTGTTTGTTCACATATCCCTATGCCCTGCCAGGCAAATGACTCTCCAGTCTCTTCTTCAAAGCCTCCAGTGATGGAGCATCCACAACTTCTGAAGGCAAACTATACCATTGGTGGGTTGCTCTCCCTGTTAGGAAGTTTCTCCTTAGTTCATTCAATTCATGGCCTGGTTTGTGATTTCTTTTAAAAACACATTGCGGCTGATTTTTAAACCTTTTCAGCTTTCGTTGCAACGAATACCTGGCGATACAATATTAAAAACCAAATAGGTATTCTGTATTTTTTTCAATCAAGAATATAATTTGATTCGGTCAAACTTCCATTTTAGTCTACAATCTTTAAATGTGTTGGTTGCTCCTAATGCAAAACAAAACAAAAAAAAAATCCCATTTGGGTTGACTGTGCAATAAAGAAGACAGATTTCAGTTTCGGATTATAAAACTTAAATTCTCAGTCACAGCTCAGTTTTCAGTCACTTGCTATGTGATTTGCTGAGGAACATTTGCAAAAACATGCCTCGTGCTCACAAAGTTCAAAACTTTGAACTATTGGCAGGTTTTCACGAAGTGTGTTGGATACACTTCACAAATTCCCAGCCTGCATGTTAGTGATCCAAGATTTAAAGGTTTAAAGAGCATGATTTCAACTAAAGTTTGCCTGTTTCTCGTAATTATTCCATTCTGTTGGGTGCAATGTCTTTGTTTAGATCAGTGTTTCTCAACCTTTGTAGCTTGAAGATGGGTGGACATCAACTCCCAGAATAATTTTTATATTTTCTCTTGGGCTTTGTACTTGAGCTTCCTGTTCCTGTGCAAGGACATGTATTCTATTGGGTGTCAGATTCCCATAGTGCCATATATAAATCCTAGGAGTTTGTCTGGTTGAAGTTTGGTCTGATGCAATGAAGGAGTTTGTTGGGCAATTCCTATTGTGGCTGAGGGCTAACCCTACCTTTGTTCAGACCTCGTTGCAGGGAATTTGCTTATGAATAGAGCTAGCTATCTCTTTATCTCTTAAATGCTGACATCTGCTGTGGGCTATTAAGAAATGTGGGGGCTGCTTTCCAAGAGCATTTCTCATCCAGGGAAATATAATATTCTGCCTTTTTTTAATATTCCTGAAAATATTTCATTCTTCTAGGAGAGGGGTGGGTGCTAACTTTCTACAATGTCTCTACACGGTTTCTTTGGTAACAGTATGGAAGTCATTTCCCCTTTTCCAATTTTTTTAAACTTTCCAATCTAGCGTGTAAGGCTGAAATTTTCTGATGATCTCCTATGGGAATACTAAGCATCCCTAACCTTGCTTAGTATTTTGGGCTCAGCCAAAAACAACTGGAGTGGTGCTGTATCTATCATGAGTGATAAGCAGAATGTCTTCTGTCCTTAGCTAATCCATTTGATTACTGGATTCCCAGTATTAAATCTGCTGCCATCAGCCGTACGATCAACCTAACCAGCAGGTTAGAAAAGGATGGGTTTACAAGGAGAGGTGGGCTTCAACAGGTTCTGACCAGTTCTGGAGAACCGGTAGCAGAAATTTTGAGTAGTTTAGAGAACTGGTAAATACCACCTCTGACTGGCCCCGTCCCCATCTATTCTCTGCCTCCTGAGTCCCAGCTGATTGGGAAGAAATGGGGATTTTGCAATAACCTTCTCCTGGAGTGTGGAGGGAATGGAGATTTTACAGTATCCTTCCCCTGCCACACCCACAAAGCCACACCCACAGAACGGGTAGTAAAAAAATTTGGATTTCACCACTGGATTAGAGGGCTGGAGGCTAAACATATGAAGAATGTTTACAGGAACTGGGTCAGAGGTGATATTCAGCAGGTTCTGACCAGTTCTGGAGAACCGGTAGTGGAAATTTTGAGTAGTTCGGAGAACCGGTAGTAAACATTCTGACTGGCCCTGCCCTCATCTATTCTCGGCCTCCCGAGTCCCAGCTGATTGGGAGGAAATGGGGATTTTGCAGTATCCTTCCCCTGGAGTGGGGAGGGAATGGAGATTTTACAGTAATCTTGAGATAGGGGATATAGTCACCGAGCCCTTGTCATGGTCTGATCACTCTCTCCTTCGTCTCGACCTTCGAACCGCTACACCCCGCCGCAGGGAGGCGGAGCCGGTAAGATGGTTCCGCCCCAGGCGCCTGATGGAACCGGATAGGTTCCAGATGGAGCTTGGGCCATTCCCTGAGGATCTGGCACACGCCTCGACTGGAGACCTAGTGGCCGCCTGGGATAGGGCGGCCGCTGGAGCTCTGGATCGGGTCATGCCTTTGCGGCCTCTGACCCGGCGCCGATCTCATTTAGCTCCTTGGTTCACTGAGGAGCTGAGGGAGTTGAAGCGCCGGAAAAGACGCCTAGAGAGTAGTTGGAGGGCCAGTCTTTCTGAATCTGACCGGACACTGGTAAGAGCTCATATTAGGAATTACCTAGTGGCGATAAAAGCAGCGAAATGTAGCTATTTTGCTGCTCTTATTGCATCATCAGATAATCGCCCGGCCGCCCTGTTTAGGGTGACCCGCTCCCTGCTCCACCAGGAAGCGCGGGAGGACCCCTTGGAGGGTAGAGCCGAGGATTTTGTTCAATATCTGTATGACAAAATCGCTCAGATTCGGGAAGATCTGGACTCCGACTGGATAGTCTCAGGGGGAGGGACTGGGGCAGGTCTTGAGAATGTTATCTGGGATGAGTTTGATCCTGTGACCCCTGAGGACGTGGACAGGATTCTGGGTAGACTGAACGCGACCACTTGTTTATTGGACCCGTGTCCCTCCTGGTTAGTGCTGGCTTCTCGGGAGGTGACACGAGGCTGGTTCCAGGGGATTATAAATGCTTCGCTGGGTGAGGGTGTCTTTCCTGCCGCCTTGAAAGAGGCGGTGGTGAGGCCTCTCCTCAAGAAGCCTTCCCTGGACCCGGCAATGTTGGTAAATTATCGTCCGGTCTCCAACCTTCGTTTTGTGGCGAAGGTTGTTGAGAGTGTGGTTGCGCA